AGCCTTAATTTCAATCAACTTTGGATCAGGGTCTTAAGAACAAGAGCCCTTTAATAACATCACAGAACCCCTCAGATTCTTCTAAACAATCAAAATTACTGAAATGTACTAAACATATTGCAAACATAATGAGCCAGATTCATCCCTGGTGTAAGCCCAATGAAGCCAGCTGCAGCACCACTTTGTCTCATTGTTGGTTACAGCCAGGCTGCCAATATTCACCCTATAAAAACTCCCATGCTTTTCTCATTCCCAACAGCGATTTGATTCCGGTAAAGTGAGTAATTTGTATCAAGAGAAATTGTCTCACTTTGAGGAAGGTTCCCAATAGAACACAAAACCATGTGAAATTTGCCTGGTTGCAGGTTTTATTACAAACTCTAAACTCAGACAAATGTTTTCAAGTGATTCTCTACCATGAACCAGTTGAGTGAACCTGACCCAATCTATAATGGTGTGTTAAAGTCGCATGGAATTCAGTTCGGTCTCAAAATCAAATGAGAGTTTCCTTTTTAGTTTTTATGTTTGTTCAAACCTGAAACTCTTACTGTAGCCCAGTGATGTGTAAGCCCACCATAGAAAATGTTAGCACTGGACCCTGTGAAGTTAAACATCCATTTTACACTGTTCTACTTGTAACTTCTACTTGTAACATCTTCTCTACCCCCTGAATGTTCTATACCTAGGGTTGCCCCATTCTTTCAAAACATTCCATCCCATCATAAGCATGGTAAGTATTGTGATGTTGGCATTATATTCTCCAAACACTCTTACATGGAGTTTAGTTTTAAAACTAGATCTTTTTGAATGTGCTCCTTCCTCATTTTTTCTCTGTTGCCTTTATGGTGATCAAATAAAAGTAGTTTTTGCTTCTGTTTTCTTTATATTTTAGTGTAATGGTGGTGAATATTTTGTATATTTATGTCGGTATTTGGGCAGGTTAGGATAGCAGAGCTCCAGAAATATCTGAAGTGTTTAGGAAGCTTCTGTATTATTACAACTATAAACATAATTAGTAATTTAAGGACTAGGAGAAAAAGTTTAAAAAATATAAGAACTCATGGAAATCTGAGACTATTTCAATTTCAATAGTAAATAATAACTGCAGCTCACCAACACCTTTATCTGCACTACAAAGAGCAGTCAGAAAATCAAAATTAACAAAGAAATCTACAACACAGGGACAACTATCATCTTAAATTATCCATGTCTCAGTCAATGTCTAAATCCATAAAGTATATTTGAATTTCCACTCAGCTCTAATTAACACAATTTTGGAGACAGATCCAGAATTTAATTCCTCTCAACCTTGATATCACTGAATTTTGTCTCTTTCTCTCATCATTGCTTTATGTCACACCTTTTCTGTATCTTTATTTTTATCCATCAGACTCTGGGGCCCAATTCACTGGTGTCCTACTGTTTCTTTGTGCTAGCTATGCTGTGGACCACTATTAATTGGTGCAGTTTATAGCAGGTTTTAGATTGTTTTGATCTACACCAAGAGACCGGCCCAGTGCTGAAACAGGTGAGAATAAATTGACCACAAAGGTGGTCAAAAGTCACCTTTTGCTCCCCATATCATTGGTCTTCTGGAAAATCTGGTCCTGTCATTTTAAACCTCCTTTTTGGATTTGTTTTCAGAATCCTGAGAAAAATTATACTTTGTGATGAGATGCTGCCTGTGACATTTCAGGTGATCTGGATTTTTTTGGGGGGGGGAGGGAAGGGAGATGGTTGTGGGTGTGTTGAAAGCTAGAGTTATAATAGGAAGCTAACGTCAACCTTAATTATGGAGCAGCTACCACTGCTCTGCATTACATAGTTTTAACTCACTCATCTGAAATGCATTCAGCTTTCAGCACAAACATTAGATTCAATTACCATTTTATTTCCCAAATATGGTAATACTGGCAGCCAGTAAAAGTCTATTTCAACAGCCCTTGATTAATTCAACAATGTATTTGTTTCCCTTCCTTCTGCATTACAAACTTTGTTATCACTCTCTTATTTATAAAGGTGAGCTCTAAAGAAGCAGAGAACCAGAAGCTTATGTAGAAAATTATCTTTTCATTATAATCTCAAGATATTAAGGAGTAAATTTTCAATGCAGTGAGTTATAACACATAATAACTAGAGTTGGGTGTGTAAGTCCCTATGCACCAAGCTGAAAATTTGCCCCTAAGCATGTTTGGATTTTTATCTAGCAAAGTGCCAGAATACTAAATAGATTTTTATGAAATTGCACTCAGTAGTAAAACTACACCATCTGATCTCCATAGAGTTTATAAACCTGCAACATACAAACCAGCTATAGCACCGTAATACACTTTAATGTTCACAGCCTACTATTGTTGCACCAATGAATTGCTCAATTCCAAGGCTCAATTCCATGGCATTTAGCTGGGATGGGCATGGATTGTGTCCCTAGTCTCTGTTTGCCAGAAGCTGGGAATGAGCGACAGAAGATAGATCACTTGATTACCTGTTCTATTCATTCCCTCTGGGGCACCTGACATTGGACACTGTCAGAAGACAGGATACTGGGTTAGATGGACCTTTGGTCTGAACCAATATGGCCATTTTTATGTTCTTAAGTTCCTTTATTAAAACTCCCAGTAAAGTCTAAATAAAGATGATAGGATTGGGCCCTGACAGGGGATTTTAGGGTAATCTAATAAATAAGGATTTAATTCTTATTACAAAACACAAGGGGAAGTCTATCTGCTCGAGGTCTCTCTTCTTCACAGTACTATTGATATCTAAGCCTATTGATTACAGAGTTTAGCCAATGGATCACAAATTGATGTTCCGGGTTACAATTAATTAAAAGAGCCATGGCTGGGTCACCCTCTCCTGGAAGAATGGGGTTTTATTCTACTGGAATGTGAGTGCTGGTGAAGGTTAGATTAGTACAGGGGTCGGCAACGTTCGGCACGTGGCTTGCCAGGGTAAGCACTCTAGTGGGCCGGGCCAGTTTATTTACCTGCTGACGCGGCAGGTTCGGCCGATCGCAGCCCCCACTGGCCGTGGTTCGCCGTCCTGGGCCAACGGGGGCGGCGGGAAGCCGTGGCCAGCACATCCCTCGGCCCGTGCCGCTTCCCGCCG